CGTCTCCCAGCCCATCGACTACCTCTCCGGCATCGGCATGACCGCCCTGACGGCCTACTTTGGCATGCTCCGCGTCGGCGACCCCAAGCCCGGTGAAACTGTCGTCGTCTCGGGCGCCGCGGGCGCCACCGGCAGCGTCGCCGGCCAGATCGCCAAGCTCAAGGGCGCGCGCGTCGTCGGTCTCGCCGGCTCGGACGATAAGTGCAAGTGGTTGACGGAGGAGCTCGGCTTCGACGTCGCGCTCAACTACAAGGACCCCGAGTTCAAGCAAAAGTTCAAGGAGGCCACGCCCGACTTCATCAACGTCTACTTTGACAACGTCGGCGGCGAGATCCTCGACATGGCGCTGGCGCGTGCCAAGGAGTTTTCGCGCTTCGTCATGTGCGGCGGTATCAGCCAGTACAACTCTGCGACGCCGCAGGGCCCCAAGAACTACGCCAACATCATCACCATGCGCATCAAGATGCAGGGCTTCATCGTCTTCGACTTTGTGCAGGAGTACGGCCAGGCGCGCAAGGAGCTTGCGCAGTGGCTTGAGGAGGGCAAGATCAAGCGCAAGGAGACGGTGGTCAAGGGCGGTCTCAAGGCGGCGGAGCAGGGTCTCGTCGACCTGTACAAGGGCATCAACACGGGCAAGCTGATTGTCGAGATCAAGAACCCCAAGGATGCGGCCAAGTTGTAAAGGAATCCCGAGCCAAGATCTCTGAGGAATGATTTGATGACACTGTAATTTTATGCATAATGACCAGATACTGGCACATATAGAAAGGCATGCCAAACAAATTGGAAAACATTACAAATATCTTTTGTCTGTACTGGTGCTTTGGGCGACCTGTCTGCTCTCAGTGGAGGCCCCCAAAAGGCTGAGGCTTTTGTGTCGCTAGTTAGATATGGAGGATGGATACTGAATAAGAGACATGATGAATATCTACGTTTTGATCACCCCTATCATCTTAATGGCGATGTCGTTGCTGTTGGTGAAGCATTGAGTAAAGGGCTGGTATCGTTGTGTCGGGGACTATGCCAGTACCCAGCATGCAAAGATAGGGGGTATATGGATGTAAGCCATGCGGTCCACAAGGGTACCCGCTCCTGCCACCATCACCAACCGGTGATCGCCATCCTGCCCCAAGCTCCTCCTTTCTGCCGGGGCCATCCCATCTTCAACCATCGACTTTCTCGACGTTGCCCCGGACACAGCTCCAAACACACGCAGATAGATCTTTGCAGATATTCGCAGCACCTGTTTGAAGCCCAAACGTTTGCATGCCTCGCTACGTCGACATGGCACATTGCAATTTCCTTCTCTGAGTTGCAAGGCACCACCTCTTTTTTAAGGATTCACCGGCGCGGCTCGCTCGGAGGCTTACGGAGAAGACCCCAGCACCACGGCGTCGCAGGTAAATTTCCTTTCAGGAGGCTGCGCATTCCCAACGTAGCGAGAAGCGAACCCTCTTCGTACGATTCCTAGACGAACAGAGACGGCGATTACGACTAGAGTTTCAGGCTTTGAAAAGCTCTACTTCTCACGCTTCCTGTAGCGTTCTTACCGTGACCGGCCACCCCCCGCCAGGTCTGCGTGCCTCGAAGCGAGACATTCCACTCCAGATCCACTCGAACTTCTTCACCTCTGGAATGCGCCCAGCCTCGAGTAAATGCAAGTGATAACTCCCACGCATCGGGAGACGGCCGTTTAATAAGGACGGGACGATTGGAGACACAAAAAACAAGAATGCTTTTTTGCAAACCGAGAACTTGAACACAACAAAGAAAGTCGAACACGAGTCCATGATACCCTACAACACATCCTCGACGTATCCCTAGTCGGAGCTTGCGAAGCCCACGACCCAACCCGACGTACATATCCTTCAAGTCAAGGTCCTTACTGTCCAACCTCCACGATGGCTTTGTCTTCAGAAGAAGCTGCCCACCTCCACAGGCAGGCAAAACGACGAGCCGAACGAGCCGCAGCCGAGATGAATTTCCGCGAAGTGACATCGGAGGAGTATCTCAAGAAATTACGGGCCAAACGGCGCCCCGGGAGACGATTCGAGATCGATGATACGCCTGCCGCGGTCGAAATCGGCGAGGAGCCGCTACATCCGCAACGAGAATTCAAACTTTCGACAGGCTCCGAACGGCAACGGACACATACCCGCACGAAGTCGACACCGACAGCGAACACAAATGGATTATCATCTGGTAGCCGTAGAACTACGCTTGGGGGCCCAATAGCAAGGAACACTCTCGGAAAAGCTTCGGTTCCCTCTCAGAGGCTGGCTGCTCAGCAGACGAAAAGCCAGCCCAACCTTTTCCTGCAAGCTGCGCAACAGCGGACGAACCCCGCCATCACTCATGCCAACTTGGGCACGATCACGACAGTCTCGTCATTATCAGCTCAGCCGCAAAGATCCAAATCAAGCTTGAGCATGTTCTACCCTAAAAAGCATGTTCGTCGCGCAGCGTCAGTGTCTGTCCTGTCGTCAAAACCCCTGGAGTTGGATCCGATAGCCACGGCTCACCACTCCGGCCACGCTCGAAGTCAGTCGCTTGGCAACGCCCTCTCTGTCGTTGATACAGCACCGCAGCCTGTCGCGCTCAAGAAGCGAGGCTCGTTGCGCATGCTGAGAGACAAGATTAGGAGAGTAGCTAGCTCCTTTGAACTTCGATCGACCAGAAGCGACGGTTCGGGGAGTAGTGATGATGATGGCTTGAAGAGCCGGTCCAGTAAGAGTCTTCTACTGCGGACGAAGACCAGATTTGGCTCGCAGCATCGACTTGGGACTGTAAGCGAAGAATGAGCGACGATCAAGATCCGGGGTGGTGCCACAAGCCAGACCTAGTCATGCGTGGCTGAGGTCCTTTACGCAGACACCACTGGAGAACGTCTACACTGTGTACGATTGACGCGGACGAGATACGACAGCTCTGAATAATGGCGTAATGTAATTCATACAAAACTTTCGCATTTGTTCATATCTAGGCAAAGATACCCGGTTCATATTTCCTACCATCCCGCCGTGTCTATCCGAAGTCGCGATGCAGCATCAACTCCTGGCACTTAACTGAAATTGAGGGCAGAAAGGGTAGTCGATGTATCCAGTTGGCAGCTTTGGGGTATAAAAGTACGTCCGCTCGTACTTGTCCAGCTCAATACCCTCCTTGATGCGGAAGACGAGATCGGGATTTGAGATAAAGTACCGCCCAAAGACAACAGCAACATCGTACTTCTTGTACGCTTCGTCCACAGCTGCCTTTGCAGACTGGGCATTCAGCCCACCAGCAAGCAAGACTGGGCTCGCGTTGTCCCAGAGCTCAATCAACCAGCGCACCGTCCGCTGTCCACCACAATCGGTGTCATCATTACCACTGATCCGAGCTTCAATGAGATGGAGATACGCAAGCCCCAGAGACTTCAGTTGCTTGACCAAGTATTCAAAGGTCGGGTCTGGGTCGTCCATGAGCATGCCCTGAAAATCACTGTACGGACTGAGACGAACGGCCGTCCTATCGGCGCCGACGGCATTGACGACAGCCTTTGTCGCTTCCAGGTGGAATCGAGCACGCTTCTCGATGCTGCCGCCCCAGCCGTCGGTTCGCTTGTTGCAGGTGTCCTGGAGGAACTGGTCTGGAAGATACCCGTTGGCGCCGTGGATCTCCACCCCGTCGAAGCCGGCTTTGAGAGCGTTGCGCGCGGCTGTGGCGTAATCCTCGATGACTTGCTGTATGTCGCTTTCGCTCATTTCTACAGGGGTTGCAGCGCGCTCGGCTACGGGTATCGCACTTGAAGACTCGAGATGTAGCCCGAGGGATTCGAGAACTTCAGCTCTGCCACCGCGGCCGAGGTGCCAGAGTTGGCAGTAAATGAACGAGCCTTTGGCGTGCACAGCATCCGTGACCTTCTTCCAGCCTACAATTTGCGCCTCGTTCCAGATGCCAGGGACGTTATGACGCCCAGCGGTGCGGTACGAGATGAGGGTTCCCTCAGAGATGAGCAGAGTCCCCGGTACGCAGCCTCTCTGGGCATAATACTCTGCCCTCAAACGTCAGACAGTGAACGAGGTGAGAGACGATGGGGCTGTATGCTGACCCTCCATCATTGGAGTCGGTGTCCATTCATCGTCTGCGCGGTACCTTGTCAGCGGCGCCAGGGCTAGTCGGTTAGAGAGCTGGATAGGCCCTATATTCAACGGGGTGAATAGCTTTGACATGACTAGCTGATGTAGATGAAATCGACTAGATGCAGTGAAAGTTTTGAAGCTATCATGACAAGTCAAAATAAGGTAGATGCGATGGAAGAGTCTAAAATCAAAGACGTAGCAACATCCCGTCATCGACACCTTCGCTAGCGCAACTGATCCCAGTCCATTCTCTCTGACACCCATGCCGATGAAAGCCGAGTCGACTTCCGCGCCTTACTCACCCATCGCAATCATCAACATCGTCTCCAGCAGCCTTCAGCAGAGTTGAATCCTCATCGACACCGGCACGAAGGGATTATTTTGACAACGCTGGCCTTAATCTGGCCCACATAAGCCCAGCGCACACCCGGGAGAACATCCGGGGCCTAGAAGACTGGAAGGCCTCTCAGAAACAGAACAGCCGACACTGCGGATGCGTATCGGCACAAAACGTGCCGACAAAGAAAGTCGGACGTGCGATCGGCGACGACGGCCACCCAATCCTCGCCTGCCCCTGTGCCGACATATCCAGGGTGGATCGCCCACATTTGAGCCAGAATGGGAGAGTCGTTGAGGATTTCTGGTGAACGGATCAATTGCGATTGACGCAATGGACTCCCGGCAGGCAAGTCATTTCGTCGGGTGCGTCCGATGCTAACCCCAGATCCTCCCGGGGAAGTGAAAACCGGCGATTCGGCACCGAAGTTTGGGAGACCCGTCTAGAGTTGTGACTTCGTCGACATTTCTTGGACTGTATTTCGAGCCAAGACCTTTTCTTAGGGATTTCACAACCTACAGATCAAAGTTGAGGTTATCAAGATGAAGGAAGATGCACCCATCACCGAAACCAAGCAAATCTCACAAACGCAATCATCACAGCAAGTCCTACGCTCGCCTTCACCCTCCAGCGACGAAGATGTCAACAACCACGCAGCTTCGGCCCGGCACCCCCAGCCCAAAGACGACACAGACGCAGAAAGCATAGGCGGCCAACGCAACACAATGTCCCGCAAACGCATGCTCCTCGCCTTCTCCGCCCTCTCCGTCTGCCTCTTCGTCTCCTTCATCGATCAGACCAGCGTCTCGACCGCTGTGCCCGCCATCGCGGAGGACCTCGACACGGGAACGGCCACCTCGTGGATCGGGACATCCTTTCTGATCGCGTCGACGGCGTTTCAGCTTATCAATGGGCGGTTGTCTGATATCTTTGGCCGAAAGAATTTGTTGATGATTTGTTTGGTGTTGATGGCTGTTGGGGATGTGCTTTGTGGGTTTTCGAGGACGAAGGAGCAGCTTTTTGCGTTTCGGGCTGTTGCTGGGATTGGAGGGGGTGGGATTAATAGTATTGTTATGATTATTGTGAGTGATATCACGACGTTGGAGAATCGGGGGAAATATCAGGGCAAGTTCAAAGTCTGGATCTCTTTCACTAATTTTAACTGGAACTAATATTCAACTCAGGTGTTCTAGGCGCCGTCCTCGCCCTCGCAAACGGTGTCGGCCCTTTTGTAGGCGGCGCAGTTGTTCAAGAATCGACATGGCGATGGGTCTTCTGGATGGTCCCCATCATCAGTGCCCCGGCCGCCGTCACGATCCTCTTCTGCCTCCCGTTGAAACACCGACCCGGAAACTACAGAGAAAAGGTCAAGAAAATTGACTACGGCGGCATCGCGCTCAACATGGCCTCGACGCTGCTTCTGCTCATCCCACTATCTGGAGGCGGCGTGACGTACCCTTGGTCCTCACCATTCGTCATCGCTGGAGTCGTTGTGGGCGCTGTGTTGGCCGTCCTCTTTGTGCTCTACGAGTGGAAGCTGGCGAAGCTCCCCATCATGCCTTTGCGATTGTACCAGGCGCCGCACTGCAGTGCGTTATTTGGGCAGACGTTCCTCATGGGCCAGGCGTACTTTGGTAACTTGTTTTACCTACCTATATACTTCCAGTCTATTCTCAACTATGAGCCCCTTGTTTCCGGGGCGCTGATCCTCCCCGTCATCATCACGACTTCGGGGCTGTCTATACTGTCTGGGCAGTACATGCTGCGAGTGGGACGCTACATGCCCTGCATCCTCGCAGGATTCTTCCTCTGGACGCTGGGGAATGGTCTCACGATCCTCTTTGACCGCGATACAGGCCTAGGAAAGATGATCCCGATCCTCGTGGTCATGGGCGCGGGGATAGGCTTGACGTTGCAGCCTACGCTGGTGGGCATGTATGCCAACTCCCGCGCTGAAGACCGGGCCGTCACGACAGGGTTGCGAAACTTCATCCGGACTATTGGAGGCGCGTTCGGGCTCGTGGTTTCGGGAGTTATACTCTCCAACACGCTGAGACGGGATCTTCACCGGAAAGACTTTGTTTCCGATGCGGTGATTGCGGAACTGACTTCGTCGACATATACCTTGGACCAAAAGGGGTTCTCGGATGCGGAGAGGACGGTGATTTTGCAGGCGTATATGAAGGGTTTGCATTACATTTTTGTGTATTATGTCATCTGCTCTGGGCTGAGCCTGGTGTTGACCCTTGGGGTTGGAAATACGGGATTGAAGGCGAAGAAGCCGGCGCCGTCTGAGGAGGCTTCGGAAGGTCCGAATGGGGTGTCGGGAGAGGCTCCGATGAGTGATCAAGAGAAGGCGAGTGGGAATTAGGAGCATGGATGAATTGGTGAAGATAAACTTGCATGCAGCATAAGGCACTCAAAAAGACAGGGCGATGGGTCAGCATAGCATGAGTGGCATTTGATGAACTTGGTTCATGATCGATGTCACAGAGAATCGCGTTGAACAGGCTTCTCACTTTACAACGAGCTCGGGGCTTCTCATAGAGTTCCTTAGGGTGCGGATACCCGATTGACTTGCCGAGCATCTCATCGCGGAGCAGCGGAAGTCAGCCCGACTCCCATCCCGCAACTCAATGCCAAACTTGCCATCTACGCCTTTCAAGCTATCCCCGGCCAAGGCCCCGGTCAGAGATAGGCCTGGGCATTACATCAATATGCATCCTCTCATGCCCCTCGATCAATCTTGTTATCAAGAGCATCTCCACGGCCAACGATACCCCGTCCAGAACCCCGCGCCTTATCACCACCCCTGGGTCGACAAAAATCTCCGAAGTACTCCAACGGTTCGATGTCGTCCGATGGAGGGGGACCATCCCTGTTGAATGTAACGCCTCCAACAGCTTGCATCCTTGCCCCTTCCAGACCCCGAGATGCGTGTGTGTGTGTGTGCGACGGCGATGTGATAACGCGCTGCACGCTGCATCGAGCTGGGGAATGAAGGCATCAGCTCTGATAGGGAGAAAGCGTCTTGCTCAGTGCAGATAGCCGTGATAATCCGCCACCAATTGCGGACTGGGTCGCCCGATGGACGATTGGCCGGTTGATTCTGGCCGATCGCCGTCTTGGTCTTGCTATTTGAACGGTTGACGAGGTAAGGTCGTTGACTCGAGATATGGACGGCGTGTCACTCAATATTTGCACCCTTTTCCCTGCCATTGACATATTCTTGAAGCATCACTGAATTCCAAGAGTCTAGTCGTCCAACCTGACTTAAAAGTCACCCTCCATCATGCCGGAAGCATACCACGCCCACCCAGACTATGGCTACCCGCGCGACTTCAAGGGTTACGGCGAGAAAGGTCTTGCTTGCCCATGGCCCAACGACGCCAAGATTGCAGTCTCCTTCGTCATCAACTATGAAGAGGTTCGCCTTCTTAGTCCTAGCCCTCCCTAATCTCAGGCGGACAGGCATAAAGAGGTACAACAGCTAACATGAGTACACCCACGACAGGGCGGCGAACGGTCAGTTCTAGCAGGCGACGGCGTCTCGGAAACCAACCTCCGCGAGAACCCCATGGGCCCCGCAAAGTACAACGAGCGCAACTACAGCGTTGAGTCAGAATACGAATACGGCTCCCGCGCGGGCTTCTGGCGCCTCTTCCGCCTCTTCAACTCCCGCAAGATGAAGTTCACCCTCTACGCCGTCGCTCAGGCCGTCGAGGAGCAGCCCGAGGTCGCGACACGGTGCGTGGAAGAGGGTCACGATGTGGCCTCGCACGCCTACCGCTGGATCGACTACCATGACGTGCCGATTGAAACGGAGAAGGAGTACATCCGAAAGTGTATCACTTCGCTCAAAAGTTTGACGGGGTATGCGCCCAAGGGGTGGTACTACGGTCGCAATTCGCCGCACTCGAGGACACTTGTGCCGCAGGTGTATGAAGAGATGGGAGAGGATCTTGTGTGGGCGAGTGATACATATGCCGACGACGTGCCATACTGGATTGATTTGCCCACTGAGCGAGAGAAGGCTGATCCAAAGGGGTGTCTGATGGTGCCGTACAGCTATGACTGTAATGACTTCAAGTTCCACGTCACGGGTTCTGGGTTCCGCGACCCGCAAGGGTTCTACACGCATTTGAAGAACGCCTTTGATGTGTTGTATGAGGAGGGTCAGGAGGGGATGCCCAAGATGATGACGATTGGGCTGCATTGTCGTATTGTTGGTCGGCCGGGGAGACTGGCTGCGCTGAGGGACTTTGTGGATTACATTGCGAAGAAGGAGGGCGTTTGGGTTGCTACGAGGACGGAGATTGCAGAGGCGTTTAAGGCCAAGTATCCCTATAAGAAGGGCCAGCTAGCATAGAACCGTGATGGATCAGGTTGATGGTATCGATAGGGTATGTATATAATGACGATTCATGAAAGCTTTTTCGACACTTTTCGTTTCCTTTGTATTGAATCTATCTTCTAGACCGCTCCACCACCTCCCTTCTCCTCAACCTGCTCCTCAACAGTCTAAGAATTAGCTAGTGACATATTCTCAGGTACGAGAACATGCTGAGTTTATGAATAGACAGCCCAAAAAGTTGTGAATTCGAGTTGGAGCAAAAGAATGATCAGTGGGAGGCTTGAACTCCCGACCTTGGCATTACTCAACATTTCTGATGAAATATTAGTACCACGCTCTAACCAACTGAGCTAACCGACCCACTGGTGATGACTAATCAGCCGATGGAAATTGGAGGCTATTCGCAACTTGTGGATCAGAGGGCTGGGGCGAGCGTGCATGAGAATAGCCCCAACAGGAGACGAGTATGCCTGGTATTTACTTCCAGTTGCAAAGTTGCGATAAAAAGAGCAACTCAATCATAGATGAAAGAAGATAACTCTCCAGCTTCAATAATTCACGGGAAATTTGTGAAGAGAGACGTCGACAACCGCAAAAGGTCGACACGCTTCCCGAGCCTTAAGGTGAGGCTAAGTGACGCCGAACGTCACATATACCATTGATCCTTACTTTCTACCTGAACTTCCGTGCTCCTCTGCTTGCAAGATGTATTCAGATCTAACTGAGCTACTAGATAGGTATGGCGGAGTAGAGCAGTTAAGTAATCTAAGCCTCGTGAACTCCAGCGAAGACATGACGAGGTTGGATGAGTCTTAGAACCTCAACCGCGAGTATCACAGATCCTAAGAGCCAAATCAAACAATCAATTGCAACTCTGCGAAGATGTGTAGCAAATTGAAGAATGCAAACGCTTGTGTTAAGGAGATCGCGCACGTAAGCAAGTATCAGCGTAACCTATTGATGAAGCTCCCACAATGAGATTTCAGAACCGAGGTTGGTATTCAGCTCACCATTCACAACTCGCCAAAGCCCAAGTCAGATTCCATCAAGCCTAAGTAAGCCCCTTGCTCAAGCTCTTTTGTGAGTTCTAACTCAAGTTCAAAACCATTACTTTTGCCGTGCGGTCTGTCTCCTCCATCAAATTTCTTCGGGCTGTGGGTAGATTTGAGGTCAGGCTGCACCATTTCGTTGAACATCCTCCAACCCTGCCAACCGCCCGGTGCTTCTTCATCTACCTCCATAAATGCCTCTTTCACGGCGTCGGAAATAGCATGGGCCATGGATGACTTTCCCCCGGTCTCGCTGCTCCGTTCAATAGCCACGTGTACTTCTTGTGCAGTTGTCGACGGCGACATCAATCGGTCGCCTACTGGATTCGCTCCCAAGTCCACATCTAGAGGCTGTGATCCCCCACCAGGACCTGCTAGCGGGCTAACAATTGTCTTGAACAGACTCCCTGAGAGGGCATCAAAGATGTCACGATACTTCACCGCACCGTGAAACTTCTCACCGAAGATGGTGAGGGATTGAGAGCACGCCCTCGTGGCTTCAAGCGTGTCATACGAGAAGATAGCATGTTCCCGCCATAAACAGTATACAAGCGTCAAGCCGGCAATGAAACATGAATGCAATGCCATCATGGTGTAGCTTAGCGTCTTCTGCTGGTTTAGTCGCTTGTATGCCCTGCAAACGCAGGCGGCGGATCGAGCGGTGGTGAGGAATCTCGAGTCAGAGGTGTGAAGTACTGGAAGAAAAACAGTGTAGAGCGATAGAACCGACTTGTGGTACTGCCTAAGCTCCCGATTAGCATTCGGTGTCATGGCCCAGATTAGAATGGCATAAACACTCACAAGATGAAGAAATCTCTCGAGTCATGATAAGCGCTTTCTGGGTCGTACATCCAGCTTATTGCTCCGGCGCCTTTTGTCGGATGATGGGGGACTGTCCTCACCCATTCATCGAGTTCGGCTCTAATTTGTCCCATTTTGGTCTCAAGTCCCGCTCGTTCTTCTGAAGAAACCGAAAAAATGTCCTTATCAACTCGGTACACTCGGCGGTGGATCTTGGACTGTATCCTTCGGAGCTTAATAATGTGTATGAAAGGCTTCATGTTTGACCAAGGCAGTCCGGAAGAATTTGATGGGCTATCCAGTGCTGTCAAGTCCCAGAAATCTAAGCTATCACTTGGAAGCTACACAGCTGTCAGCATCATCATGTCCCCACAGCAGGCTCTCCTCTAACTGACCTCGGTATTTATGTCTCTGTCAGCGATGGCGAATGTACGTCCAAGTACCGCACTCGTCATACGGTCCAAACAGTAACATGACCAGAAGACGCGCCTTCTGATCTCGAGATCGCGTAGATCGTGAGTCGAGGTGTTGGATTCCTTTCGATGGAGACCCAGCTCTATGCAGAGCGTGACAGCGTACCGCACCTGAGACCATGAGCCAGCACCGTAGGGGCTTCTAGTTCCATGCACGGCGAGTAGGAGGAGAAATTGTACAGTGGCTAGATTGTGTTGTTCCAGTATGTAGTCCATCGGCTCAATGGCCGCCGTGAGATGTTTCTAACAGTGACCATGTTAGATTTGTAACGGCAAGCTTTGCCTTCAGGAAACTTTCACCTGGGGATCTACATCACAAGGCTTCTTCATCAATTGTAGGAACCTTGCGGATATGGCGTATATCAGGTGCATAATGCTTCGGTGCTGAATAGACAGGGCTCCACGGTCGTATTGCTTCTGGAATAGCTTAGTGTACAGTTTGCGATCCAGAATAGGCCATCGCGTATGAAGTCGATCAGAGAAGACATCAAACAGCACCTCCGCTTGCTCAGGGCACGGGAACTCGGATTGGGATTCCTCCGGGCTAGAGGACACCGATACTTTGAGATGCAATTGCGGAGTCGATGAGAGAGCTTGACTCGTTGGCATGGCATCAAACGCAGCTTTACCGCCCGAGCTGTGAAAGATGGAAGACTGGATCATGCGCGCAATGGTTGCGCCGGAACTTGATCCTAGGTAGAATGGCTCTGGTGCAGTGTCCGTTGTGCCAGATGCACAGAGCGACAAGTACGCAACGCCTTTGACTAGAGAGGACTGCTCATCGTCCGATAGTGAGTCTCGTGAATTTCTCCGAGGATCTTTCGTCTTGGGTTCCGGTGGTGTTGCCACGGAAGATGTCCTGACAAAGTGGTCTTCTGCGTAATCTGGCATCCGGGCCTCGAGAAATGCGATTCTCTCTTCTAGTGCGCTGATGTACCTGAAGCTCGTGTAAGTATACAATTGTACCAGCATGAAGGGAAAGACTTGCAGCGACTTTCCGCCAGGATAGTGCGGCCTCAGTGCACGTTCGTAGACACACGACGAGTTGGACTTGACGCAAGACCTGCAACTCGGATGTGCGCCGTCGCACTTCCATGTCGTATTTAGTCAGCAAATGAACAATGGTGATCTAGCTGTCGATATCAATGACTTACACGCTGTTTCCTTCTCTTGCATCGCTTACAAGCCAAGGCCACCCTCGACTTCCGGGTCTGCGCCGCCGAGACCGGTGGGCCGGTGCGGGGACTCACGAGACCCTCCGTGTTGAAGCCGGCCGACGTGGAGTTGACCAGATCTACGGGAGATGTCTTATCCAGCATGTTCTCGGTCTGAACATGAGCAGTCATCTCGAGCATTCTCCTGATTCGGCTTGTATGTATGGTTGAATACTGCAGTGAGGATACGAAGTAGGAACTTAGGAAAATTTCGAGCCGAAGTAGAATGGGCCAGGACAACGCCTGCAAGGATTTTCCACAGTCAGAATCGGGAGTGTCATTGGACACACTTATGCAAACGCAAGTATGAGATGTATGGGTCGTTAGGAATATCGAAGGATTCGAACACCGAAGCCCCCCTCCCCCGGATAGCACGCGGCCTGCTCATGACGGGAACTTGACCCGGAAATTTAGTCCGGTGATAGCTCGCGTCATCACCCAGCTTTACATCTACTCCTAATTGCCTTACACTGGTACAGACACCTTCATAACATCCAGAAACTCATTCGTTGTTCTATCCATGGTTGCCCCTTCCACGGGAATAAGCACAAAGCAGCTAGGACTCTGCCTCCTAGCACCATGCCCTCACTCAGAACCCGAGTGATACGCAAACGTCTGTAGTTTCTTACCGATGACCGCATCTTTACCGAATTGGGATAACTATTCGGACGTCCACCGCAGATAAGACCAACGGCCGGCCACCGCCTTATCTTGGTGGATCACACCCGAGACCAGGTCCCCGGCCCATCCATCTACATGCCAAGCACCGCTCTCCGCATATGCCATGCCGAATTCTTATCATTCCCTACTTGTAAATCATGCTTAGACAGCTCACTGGGCTCGCGTGGCGACGCACTGTCTATCGGCTGGAAAGTCGCCGACGAATGAGGAACTACAATCAGGGTTGCAATAGAGCTGATACTTGAGCACCGGGCCTCTAATATGGACGAAGGCCCTCAGCGTTGTAGAGCAAAGAAGAAAGAGGACGTGCATTTCCATGAAAACATGTCTCTTTGATGGTTGATAGGGTTCTGATAGTGCTGTTCGGTCACCACAGGTTCAACTAATTATGGTACGCTTTCGTATACCAACGAAAGGCGAAATAGCCGCTCCTTTCCAATCGAAAGACGCCTTCGTAGAATGGATCAAGGCTCCCGAAGTTCACGAGGGACGAACTCAGGTCGGAGACTCTAGGTGGTCGAACAAGGATCTCGAGCCGACGCCGCCAGAACAAAGAACATGGACGTGGTACAACTTGCCTTTGTACTGGTTCTCAAACATGTTTGGGACGACCGGGTGGAACGTCGCGTCTTCCCTCATCGCCGTGGGTCTGGTAAGTTATCAAAAGACAGCATCGTTGTTCATATGCGCTGACAAAATCAGACATGGCAACAAGCCTTTGTATCCTGCGTTCTTGGCTCACTCATATCCGCTATTGTCGTTACTGGTATGGCGAGACCTGGCGTGATGTACCACCTAGGATAGTGCGTTTAAACACTCCTCCCACGTTTAGTATTTTCTGACATTTTTTCAAGTCCTGTTCTTGCACGATCGGTGATGGGAATGTATGGATCATACTTCTTCATCTTTATCCGAGCAATTGTGTGCATCATTTGGTACGGTATTCAGACCTACTACGGCGCGAACCTGTTGTCCGTTTGCTTCCGCTGCATTTTTGGAAACAGCTGGGACAACTGGCCCAATATGCTTCCCACTGGTGCCGACGTAACTTCAAAGCAGCTGCTGGCGTTCTTTCTCCTTTGGCTGGTTGAGTTCCCGTTTGTGAGTATATGTAGTGTGCGACCCTCTAATGACATGCATTCCCTGACACTGGCGGCAGACCTGGGTACACCCGATTCATATTCACTACATCTACACCGTGAAAGGCTTCATCATGCCATTCGCGTGCTTCGGACTCTTCGGCTGGTGTATGTCCTATGGAACCGGAATCTCTAATATTGGCGCTGCATCTGTCGCAGGCGCATCGGCAGCAGCTAAAACACCCGTCGGATGGGCTATCATGAGCGGCATCAATGTCATCATGGGTTCTCTTTCGCCAATGCTCGTGAACCAACCTGATCTCGCGCGATACTGCAGAGAGCCTCGAGACGCCGGTTGGCTCCAAGGAGCATGTGTCTTCTTCGCGAAGATCCTCGTCTTCTTCCTTGGCCTAGCTTCGACGACCTCATTACAGGGTGCTTGGGGCAAGGCCTACTGGAACCTATGGGATCTTCTTGATGCCATCCTTGACCATTACTGGAATCCGACCGCCCGTGCTGGTGTCTTTTTTGTATCGTTCAGTTTCATTCTCAGCGTGCTGGCGACAAACTTTGGAGCAAACTCGCTACCTTTTGGCGCGGACATGACTGGACTGTTCCCCAGGTACTTGACGATCCGTCGAGGCCAGATCGTTTGTGCAATCCTCGGTATCGTTGTATTGCCGTGGAAGCTTATTGCGAACGCGTCCGCGTTCATCTCATTCCTCGGGAGTTACAACATCTTCATGGCTCCCCTCTGCGCTGTGAGTACTTCAACGCCCAGTCTTGAAAACCAGTCTTGAGAACGTATTGCTGACTCTCACCAGATTATCATTTTCGACTACATCTTGGTTCGAAAGGGTAACATACACGTGCCGTCGCTGTATAATGGCTCTAAAGAGGGCCTCTACTGGTTCAATTCTGGAGTCAACTGGGTTGGGGTGTTTGCCTGGATCGGCGGCACGGCAATGGGATTGCCCGGTCTCGTCGGGCAATACCAGCCTCATATTGTCAGCCAACCGGCCAAGTACATGTACATGATGGGCTGGGTGTTGACGTTTTTTTCATCAGCCATCTTGTATGCTGTGCTAGTGCAGTTCTTCAAGACCAAGGTGTATCCTCCGGGCTATGAGAATGCCCCGATGGACTACGAATGGCTGGCGAAAGAAGGCCGGGATGGGTTCTTTGAGGGCGAAAGGGAAGGCGAGATTTATGCGCCGCCATCTCCGCGCATTGACGAGGCTGAAGGATTGCACTTTGGAGAGAAAGTGCAGAAATTGGAGGCCTAGTTGTGGTTCCCTAATGATTGATGGCTGTCGAGAACTCAATCTCCCACTTACTCCTACTTTGCTTTTGAGATGAATTAGTTATGGAAAAGATCTTAGTAGAAGGCAGAATGCTAGGAACAATAGGTAGTGTGGTAGTCTCAGTGACAGTATGAGAAGAACCACAGCAGTGGTAGAAGTTGTGAGAACGTCTCGTGGGACAAGAATCCCCGCCAACTAGTTGGCATCCTTTTGACTTCATGTTGCCATGACGTGACTGGAGAAGCCGCCCCAAAGCCGCCCCGGCTAGCCAGCAAAGGCAATTCGTTGCGTAAGTCAGCGGGTCACCCTCGGCCTCTCAGAATGTAAGCGTTGAAGTCCCGGGCAACAATTATCAGAGTGCACGCCTCATTCGGTGGAAAGATCCCGAATCGGACGTGCCGCAGTCTGCTGTTGAAGGCGTAGGCGGAAATATTGCGGGGGAAACAAACGCGGCGGCGGATCTGAAGCCGACGATAACGGCCTGCGGGGTTGGGGTATCAGGGATGGCCCCTCTTACGGCCGTTGGAGTCACCGGAAAACATCTTTGAAATAGCCGGATTGCCTCCAGATTACTCCAACTCTTGAGAACTCCACGATTTTGTTCATGTTCTCATCCCGTTTCATAGACTCTGCAAACTCGAGAGTTACCTTCTGAACCTCTGGAGCTCAAAACAGCTACGGTACCGAAATTATTCACGAGGCTATTGAGTGCGTACCTTGGACAGAGTCCACTGCAACCGTGGCGCTCTGACTCTGTTACTACCCCGCCTTCTTGTTCTGGATCGTCTCCCACTGAAGCACTTGACGAGTTTGTCTTGTCAAAACGTTTATCTCTGATATCTTTTCTTGACAATAGCAAACTGCAACACCATCACAAAATGGCAGTTGAACCGTATAGACTTACGGCGACCCAAGCGTCAGCCAAGATAAGGGCCGGGGAGTTGACTGTGGAAGATTACGCGCGCTCGCTCTTGTCCCACATTGAGGAGAGAGACCCCGTAGTCAAAGCTTGGGAGTACTTGAACCCAGAGCAGGTGATTGCACAAGCGAAGGCAATGGATGCGATACCGCCAGAGAAGCGCGGACCCCTACACGGCGTTGCCATCGCAGTCAAAGACGTTATTTACACAAAGGGTCAGCGAATATTAGCCTGTGATTCTACAGGAGCACTAATCGAAATCTAGATATGCCAACACAGCACGGATCTCCAATCTACGCTAGAGACGCTCCCAAAGTCGATGCCGGTTCCATCATCATTTTGCGACAGGCTGGCGCGCTGCTTCTTGGTAGGTCCATGCTGATAATTCAACCCAACCCCAGCAATGCGATACTGACAAAAGTAGGCAAAACAACCACGACCGAATTCGCAGCGACGGTTCAAGGTCCAAAGACAGTGAACCCACACGGCACGAACCGAACCCCCGGTGGCTCCTCGTCAGGATCAGGCGCCGCCATTGCGGATTTCCAAGCGCCCATCGGCCTAGGCACCCAGACAGGCGGAAGCACGATCCGCCCAGGATCTTTCAATGGCATCTATGCTCTGAAGCCGACATGGAACTCCATCACGCGCGAGGGTCAGAAGATTTACTCCTTAATCCTAGATACCCTCGGTTTCTTCGCCCGCAGTGTTGAAGACCTGCAATTGATGGCCGATGTTTTTGACTTGAAAGACGACGAGCCCCCGAAGGACACCTTCGCTGTCAAGGGCGCCAAGTTCGCTCTGTTGAAGACGATGGTGTGGCCTCAAGCTGGACCCGGTACCAAGTCCGCGATGGCGAAGGCTGCGGAGCTTCTCAAGGCTCACGGAGCCGAGGTAGAAGAGATTGAATTCGATCCCGAGCTTGAGGAGCTACCTCAGTGGCATGCTACGGTGTTGCACAGCGACGGAAGATCCGCTTTCCTGCCCGACTACCGCGCTGCTAAGGATCAACTGCACGAGTTCTTGATTTCGCATGTTGATAACACCAACAAGATCAGCAGAGCGGAGCAGCTAGAGGCATTTGACAACATTGCCATTGCAAGGCCCAAAGTTGACAAGATGCTGGCCAAGTACGATGCTGTTCTGGTGCCTAGCGTCGTTGATGAGGCCCCGGAAGGAACCTCGAGCACCGGAAGCGCAGCTTTCAACGCTCCCTGGACAGTGAGTCTCTTGAGAGCGATGTCTTGGGTTGTCACTACTAACGAGGGTGATAGGCGCTGCATGTTCCGGTCGTCAACATTCCAGGTTTCAAGGGTCCCAACGGGATGCCAGTTGGCGTTTCCCTTGTAGCTCCCAGGTATCACGACCGTCATCTCTTGGTGGTCTCCAAGGCGGTCGGCGAGATCTTCGAGGCGGAGGGAGGCTGGAAGTCTGCTTTGTAATTATGACCCATACAACATCTGCGACAGGTAACCTCTTATTCACTGTAGTTTTCCTGAGCTTCGGTGAAGCCGCTCAGCATATGTTGGATGTTGTAGCGAAGGCTTGGAGACTTAAGGCCTTTTTTGTTTCATGATCTCATTATGCATCTATAAGCTACAACAGGTTCGATTGAGCGGGTCAACTCTACATAGTGGGATCATTTACGACCAATAAGCAATACAACGCGCAGGCTTCCACTGCCACTGCCGCCGCTGCTATTGTCCTTAAAAACGAATTTTGCATCGCCAAGGCGAAACATACCTGCACATCCTCAGCCGTTTCCCGCCGTGACCTCTCGAACAGGTCGGTGTCATCAATGTCTGTCTGGCAACGCCTTTTCCAGCCCTGCTGGCACATGCACATGTCGAGTAGGCCACGCTGCTCTTGTCGTATGGAGACTTGAAGCGATCCAATACCAAGGAGCGCGGCTGTCTTGATTGTCGTCCCGGTTCTTCTACAGCTTTCAACTATCCGTGGCAGCTCCAATATACCGCTAGATAGAATTCTGTCTCGTCTCCCTGCCATGATGATGCAAACTATGAGTCAAAATAACTGGAAACGCATACAACACTGGGAATTAATTGATGGTTTACAGGCCATTCAATCACTCGGTCTTTGTTGAAACCTTCTATTGAGCTTTCACTTTCCTTTTGGGACAGTTTCCATAACCTTGAAGTAGAGGACGCTGCTCCTGTGTTCTGGTTTGGACGACCGTGGCACAAAGTACAGTACTCACCGATGAAGCGCTGCCCAGAAGTAGTTAATAAACCGTTCATCTGAAATCTGCAGTTCTAGTAGGTGAACAAGGGACATGTATCAAAAGTCTGCAACTTCATTTCTCTCAAGTAAAAGGAACGAGAAGTAAGACAAGAAGTCCACACAATTGCGTGTATCAAACAGGCGAGAAGAATTGCCATTCGTCCACATTTGGGTCAGCCAATCGTTCAGCCTGTCAGGCTGCCTATCAGGCTGCCTGACATGGGAGCTATGCTTGACACTATCACTCAAAGCCACCACCGAATTTCCAATGGCTGAGACTCAGCCGCCAGTCAAAGCTCCTAATTCGATGCCGAGATCCCAGGCTAAGGGGTAGGCAAGCTATATTATCCGCCACAACGCCTCCCGGCGTCAATGAACAATGTATCTCTTCAGGCTGGAATGAAAGGTCCATCCGACTGCCCAGTCAGGCGACCCCAAATATACACCTGACACCATCTCAGCCTATATAAACCGGGAGACGTTCTCCAATCTCTTACTTTCAACTTACACACAAGCAACACGGGCTTACTCGATCATTGGTCAACAACTTCAACGGGCGCTTAATCACCCTCGATATACCTACAATACCAACAGTCTGACTGTGATCGAACCGCACGCTCCCAAATGAGGGTTGGAGCTTGTAATTCGTTACTGTTTTGGATCTAACTACCTGTAAGGTAGTCGCAATATATCGACTCTTTTGCCTTACCTTGAGCAACACACACTCACCGGGATTATTTCCAAGGAAAAAGAATGAGTGTTAGCCGCCTCCAAGCTGCGTTGGCCAGCGCCACAAATGAGGTCACCGTTGCAGCCACAAACATTAACTTCGACTTTACGCTTGTCAAGTATGAAGCTCCAAAAGAGTACCAGCCTCTTGGTGCACTCCTTTCTCCTAAACGCAAGGAAAATGCAGAATTTGGACCTTCACACTGTACAGCACGCCGGCTGGCGTCCTTGTTCCAGGATGTCTGCCCGGAAACGCCCAATTTGATCAGAGCCTATGGGAAGCGGGTGTCGGAGATCTCAACGAGGGCGACCAAGAGACAGTCGACCAAGTTTGCTAATTCCATGTTCGAGTCGTACGCTGGTGTAGACGCGACATCCATCTGGGCTGCTGCCACATCGTCGGATCCTGCTGCGGCCGACAGGGGCGCATTGCACATCCACCTGCTGGCTAGCATGCTCGCCAAGATGTGGCCGGCACCCGAAGCCGTGTCGATTTGGTTCGAGCTCATCTCCGAGAGGCAACGGATGATAAGCGAACAGCTGGAAAGAGGTGACGCCTTGCCGTTCCCGCTTGCGGCGGCAGCGGCACAACGTCAGATACAGCGCTCTCAGCTCGCCGAGTGGGACGCCAGCGCCAGAGCCTGACTGCAGACGGCCGACTCGGTTATGGTTAAGGAGCAGGACCAGCTCCGAATCATCCTCGAAAATATCGAGCTATCCACCAGCAGAGACCAGAGCAAGGCCTCGATGGTCTACCTGAGTGTGACCCAAGCATGGTGCAGGGCATTGATGGTAATGGAAAGGCTTGTGTCCGGCGTCGCCCAGGAGGTCCACGATGGGGCGGCTCTCGTTGGCCTCTCGGCCTGGCACATCTATCCGGATATTCATGTCTTTGGATCGAAATCTGTCAAGGTATCTATGCAAGACCCGTTGGTCCAAGCCGGCGGCATAGTGACGTTAGGCTGCGGGCCTTCGGCAAGACCATTGTCACAAGGCGTCACCTGGTCGCTGTCACTCAAACATCTCCGGTATTATGGACGGCCAGTAGAGAGTCAGAGTGCGACCGGTACCCATCGATCTCATTTATCATTCGATGAGCTGATGCTGGCCATGCTCGGTTGCGTTGTCCGCGAATGGGGTCTCTCATGGAACAGCATCCCTTCCACAGCCAAAATATTTTCCAAGTTGGTCCTGCACCTGGAAAGCCGTGAACAAAAAAAACTGGTGGACCATCATATCCTATATGGCTTGAGACTACTTGCAAGGGTTGCCGACGCTTACATTGAAGATGCGAGCACCTACGCGCCCTTTGTAAACCTTGGCATCAACAGGCCGCAATTTCTGCCTGCCACATCCCGGAATGTCCCCACGAGGCCTTTCTTCAGTTTGCTGGAAGAGAAGCCCTTTTTGGATGGACTTAAAGACGATGAGGCTAGGATCATGTTTCTAAGACGCCTGGCATCGCGGTACTTGTCCCAGCATCCGCAGGCAACCAGTTGCGTGATTCGGTATGCCACTACGCCATCGAAGACCTCCTGGGCGTCCGTCTTCCCAAGCTCTATCACTACCCACAACCGCGCAACCTCGCCCAGCAGTGCCCAGTCCCATCATCGGTGGAATGCGAATCGCACCTTGGAGAATGACAAGGAGATCCATCACCGCACGACAAAACGGAGCCCAGCTCCGTTCTCCTTCAAGGAAGGTTTTGTTTACAACCACCAACACGGCACGCCCATCCCCATGTCGCCATGGTTCGGTAACGCACACGGGACGGCTCTTTATCAGCCGTGCGATCTAGCTAGACCTGCTATGCCTCCGGCGCAAGTAGAACAGGAAGATCTGCTCTGGGCTCTCGAGTTTGACCTGATGGCGGACATCCAAATTCCTGAAGACATAGTGTCGTTTACCCTAAGTCTCTTAGCATACGCCCACGCAATGGTGCTAGGGAGGCTTGAGGGACCGATTATCCGGCTCAAGACTCTGTTGAAGCCACTCACGGAAGCCAAATGGGCCAAGAAAGCCACTATCGACTTAGACAATATAAGTGCAAGAAGCTTGGCCCCAACAATATCTAAAACTCATCCTAAATCTTTCAGTATCCTTTCATATTTCGTATCGGATTGCGACGTGCGGCCGACCGATATCCAGGAAAACGTTTGTGGCGTCTCTTTTGGAGACTCTATATTTGTCCCGGAAAACGTAAGATGATTGTTGTTTTCTACTAACGGCCGTCGCCGAATTCCTCCATCAGCATCATAGATATCGCCCTCGGTCAGCAGGAGCATATCAATCTCAGTCGACTTTGCTGATGTATCTTAGTTGACCCGCGATCCGTTTGAGGCTTCCGACGAGCAGGCCATCGTGCGAATTTTGGGAAATATAGGCCTTCCGGGCTTCGTCATGTTCTCTTCCGTCATGGAACCAATGGTGTCAGAGGTCGGCGAGTCGTCCTGGAAGGTAATTAACCAAAACCTCTTCAACGGCAGGCCCGAGAATGCGTTTGGCTCGACGTCAATGCACCTATCCTTCACCAACTGGGAGAGGTCTATTGAGGAGCCGATGTCCGGAGGTCTACAGGATACGCAATTCGTGAAAATGGAGTCCGTTGTCTCCATCCGAGAGGCCGGGTGCTGGGTCGGCGACGTTGACGTCGTCCGCTCGCTCCGTAACGAGTGCGTGAGCAAGCTTCGCCCGCAGCCGTCCTGCACCCACGATATAGATGGGCTCTACGGAGCGCATATGACGTCGATTGAATCCTGGGATGAGCTGAGGAATTGCAACTCAGGGAACGTGGTGATCAGAGCACACGGGGATTGGGTAGCACGGCTCGCCTGCATAGCTTTTCTATCGCAGGGTATCCAGCGGGGTGACTTCAGGTTTGAGAGTGTCATCGTCTGCCCCCAGCAAGTCTGTTGGAAATGTGTCGAGAAGTTTTCGCCTTGCGTTTACGTGTACTAGAAATTGATTCCTCCTCTTGTCTAGCCATACACCGAGTGTAAACACCAGCCTCAGAGGACCCGTGATAACAAAAAAATGAAAACCAAAACCCCACTATTGATACGAGTATAGTACAGGAGGATGTCATGTTGGTGTTTCGCTGTGAAGTCTTGCCGAACTCCATTTACAAGACTGCCCACAACCGCAGCACGACTCCGGTCACCACGTACCCGTTTACTCGACTCGGGCAACTTGGTGTCGGCGTCATACAGGGCGTTATGACTAAGGAAGCACAGGGACTTGTTGGCAAAATGGCATCAATCCATCCGTCTCCAATCTCTCATCAGATTGCCTTTTAATATCCTCTAATAACCTGCCGTAAGGTATTATCACTCCGCGCAGGCATGTCCAGACGTCATTCTGTGCTCGATGAGATGCTACTTTCCAACGTCGCGGGCCTGATTTACAAAAGCGAGACCGAGCAGAGTTGCACTTGGAGCTTAAAAATCATGGCGAAGATCAAGCGGATTTGCTTTGCAATCGGATGTAATTTCAACATAGTTTTCAGGACTAGTAGCTTTCAGGATCACGATTTACTCTCGAAACTTCGATCTCCGCCACTCAGGTAGCCATCCATCGACTACCTAGCGGATGTCAATCACGAATCCTCTGCCAGCCGTGATGATGCAATGCATCCTCAATTGATCATCAAACTTTTTTGAATTTCTCAAACTTCGAATATTCCGGTTGGAAAGATATTGCCTCTGACAGGCATGACAGTCAGGATTGTGAGAAATTCATAAGAGCTTGGGCATCTGTAAGACTAAACAGTAGCATGTAATTACCATATGTGAACACCCTCTTGAGTAGAACCCGACCATGTCTTCTATCCCTATCACACAGAGAGCAGCAGTGCTTGAGCAGCACGGTAAGCCTCTCGTTATTGTCGAAGATAGACCCATCCCAGAAGCCATTCCAGGCAGTATCATCGTCAAAGTCCTCGCTGCACCACTATCGCGCTACATCCGAACCACATTCGACGGCACGATCCTTGCCCCCCCTCCTCGATCCGCCCTTTGTCCCGTGCCCAAGAACTCTCGGGTACGTGCACAAAATTAGCAGTGGCACAACATCCTTCAAAGAGGGGGACTTGGTACACGTTGAACCTGTAGTCACGGCTCGCGATGACCCGAATGTGTTCATCATGCAAGGCCACGTCAAGGGACCGCCTGGCGATAGGACTGACAGATTGGCCGAATGAGAGTTTCGCGACGGTGCTCTTCAGCAATATCAGCGCGTTCCGCTCGAAAACGTCTATCGTATAGATGAGAAACTCATCAGAGAGTTAGGCGTCGACCTGATCAACCTCGTCTCCATCAGCACGTTTTCTCCAGCTGCCGGAGCTATCTTTGAGTCAGCGAAGCTCAAGGTCTGCGATACAATCATCATTGGGCCATCGGGTGGATCGTTTGGTGGAAGCGCGATTGAGTTGGCCTTGGTGGTTGGAGCAAACGTCGTTGCCCTTGGACGAAACGCAGAGCTGCTACAAGCCATGAAGCAGATTTTGAAGTCTTCTCGGCTTAGTACTGCTCTCATGACGGGCGACGTCGATGTAGATGCCGCTGCCATTCTCGCGGCCACACCTTGTGGTGGAGGGGCGGACGTTCTCAACGATTGGTCTCCCGGCGGCGTCACCGTCGCTCCCTTTCTTCCATCGGCTATTCGCGCGCTCAAACCAGGCGGGCGGATCGTAGTTAGCGGTGGATCTTTCGGCTTCTTGGAGGTTCCGTACATTTCAATGGTGTTCAACAGATTGTCAGTCGAAGGTTCGTTCATGTGCAATCGCGACTCTATGATAAGATTGATTCACATGATCGAATCAGGACAGCTTGATATCAGCATTGGAAGTGGCACTCAGGTTCGGAAGTTTGGACTTCACGAGATTGACAAAGCTATCGCAATCACTGAAGAAACAACTCGATGGAGAAGCCATACTGTTGTAACTGCTAACTAGGTCGACTAACAGCTTTACGGGGTTTAGCATCACCTTCAGAGTCTTAGGCTCAACTTGACAGAAACAATTCCATTCTCATCCCGACGACTTCCATGTCCTGAGTAGATTATGGATGGCAATTCTCATACAAAGAGAAGAGAGGAAAAAGACTTCATCCTTTATTTGCTTCAGTAGTTGTATGATTGTGCATCAGCCACTTCCTCATGTTCACCTGTCAGCCCCAGGTCTAGCGCCACATTTCCCCTGTTCCGAAATCGAAGGATGCAGTGCAACGCTGCTGCCTGATTGGGCAATCTCACATCTCAAAGTCCTCACATCTGTCTTTCAACCTTATTCCAAACTTCCTGTCGCTTATGCATCCCGAATCCTCCCCAATCCTAGAGAAATCGAATGAGACAATGCCACCAAATACAATGGCGAGACCAAACGAAATAGACGAACCCTTCTCAAATCTGGCCCTGGACCCCTCATCATCACCTCTCCCACTCCTAATCAAACCCTCAAAGTCACCTCTCCGCACTCTCTTCACCCGCAAATCCCCTCCCCCTCTTCAAACCACTCCCCTCTCCTATACCCCCCTCGAACAAAATGAAATACGCCTCGTCAACCTTCAAGCGGGGCCTCCTTCAACCCCAGTAACCCTCACAACCGAAACAACACCCCTCTCATCAGCAGGATACACAGCCCTCTCCTACGTCTGGGGCAGTCCCTCTGACACCCTCGCCATCTACGTCGACAACCACGTCTTTCATGCCACAAGGAACCTTCACTCCGCCCTCCAGCACATTCGCCTCTTCCTGAAGCCATCTCAGATCATCCCGCTATGGATCGATGCCATATCGATAAATCAGGCAGATACCGTAGAACGAAGCCAGCAGGTCTCGCATATGCGGGAGATTTATACTTCAGCAGACTTAGTTTTGACCTGGCTCGGTCCAGATCTCGCCCTGGGGCTAATGTACCTCCGCGAACTAGGCGACCACGCACTCACCGTCTCTCGAAATCGCAAAGAGGCTCCAAAATTTCTTCCCATCCATGTCAAAGACCGGCATACGACCATCCGGGAGACTGTCAGAGTCTTTCAGTCAACCTACTGGAACCGAGTCTGGACGGTACAGGAGTACACCGCTCCCACTGACTTCGGGGTCTTCCTCTCCGGTACGGCGTGGGTAGATCGTACTGCCTTCTTACCCGCCACCATGATCTACACGCAAGTGTTGCACTGGCTTAGAGATGGCTTACGAAGACGGGGTGCAGATGCTTCGTTTGTGGACGCGACACTTCCGAGGGTGAAGAAAGTTGTTCATGATCTCAAGATGAGCTATGCGCGGATGCCGGCTTCCAATGACACTGCTCGAGCACCCGATGAGATGAAAGCCTCATCCAAAGTTGATGAGATCCATCAGGTTGAATCAAGGCATGGAGAAATCTCAACCGTCCGCAGATTCAACCTCATAAGCCTCCTCTTACGATTCCGCGATCTTCAGGCAACGGACCCGCGAGACCGCATCTATGCGCCCCTGAACCTCCTCGATCAAAGCCCCACCGAGGGCGCCGTTGTCCCTGTTGACTACTCCCTCACTGTCCAGCAGCTCTACACCTCCGTCGCTAAATGCCTTTTAGAAGACGAAGACTACTGGCCTCTAAGCATCCTCGAAATCTGCCGCTTCGGGTCATCGGACTTACCGTCGTGGGTGCCAGACTGGCAAGTCCTTCCAAGAAAGGTACTCTCAAGGGACGTCACCACAGGGGAGCAAGTTGTCTGCGCGAGTAAAGGATACCCCGCTGACATAAGGCCTTGGAAGGTGCTGGACAAGACTCGGTTGCAAATATCAACTATAAAGGTTGATATCGTGGCGAAAGTATGGGACGCATTTGACGCACTGAGTGTGCCTCGAACAAAGTCCTATCCAACGTACACCCTGAAGAACCCCGGGGAAAAATACGCTATCGGAGAACAAACAGTATTAGAAGCCTTTCACGGACTAGCAAGTATCGAACCGAGATCTGAAGATGGTGAAGAGGTGGGAATATATCGCCAAGAGGACTGGCATCGCAACCCAGGCATGATGAGCCGGTTCAATCGCCGCCGGTTAACCCGTACTGAACGCGGGTTCGTCGGTCTGGCACCGGCTGAGGCCGTGCAAGGTGACAAGATCTGGCTGGTCCCCGGCGCGAACATGCTGTACATCTTCAGACCTGTAGCAGACGGTGGAAGTCACGCGCTTATCGGCGAGGTTTACCTCCAAGGTCTCATGCACGGAGAGGCACGAGAGTTCCTAGGCGAGGCTGGAAAGCATACTGTCATTACACTCGTTTAGGGTATAGCTTCTATCATGAAAAGGACCGACCCAATATCTACAAACTTTTCCCATTTCCCGCATTAGACGTGACGCGGTTGCGCACCACGACTCATCATTAACCACTCTTCTCCCTCCATCGTCCTCAATCAACGACTCAAGCCCACTTGCCGAGCACACTCATGATGATCATGCCGGCGATGAGACCGAAGAAAGCAAGGGTCGTAACGATCGGGCCAGTGCTCAGGAGCTCCGCGCCAGGAAGCATCCAGTCCTCGGCCCACATCTCCACAACACCAACCCAAACGAGGATACCGGCCGAGAGTGCGTCGAGAGTACCGATGGCGATGATGGTGTCGCGGTCGTTGCCGTTGAACCGCGAGAGAACGCCAATGCCAATGGCCATCCCGATGGGGGTGACGAGCGCAAAGGGAGAAGCGAGAATGAGCTTCTTGACGAGGGAGAAGCTGGGCTTCTTCAGGGAGTTGAGGCTGCCCTCGGCGGAGGCGGTTTGCTCGACTTCGGCGGGCGCACTCGAGGCAGGACGCTCTGCCATTTCAGCCGGGGTCGGCTGACCGAGCTGGGCAATGCGAGTGCCAAGTGCGATACCCTCAAACATCTGGTGGAACAGAATGACAACAAAAAGAGTCAGGAAGAAGGTATCACCAGCCACGACAAGGGTGATACCGATCACTATTCAATCCTTTGTTAGTATGCTACAGTGAGGGGGTGATCTAAAAGGGCAGCGTACAGATAGAGTGGAAGATGATGCCGCACTCAAGGACCAGGACGGTGACTGTCTCCGGGGAGAAACGGGTCATTGCACCAGGATTGGCGGCCATCTTCGCCAAAACCATGCGCTTTCCAATGTACTCGACCAGGAAAGACAGGAAGATACCAGCCATGACAATCGCAGAGGTGGTTCCCTCGTAGCCAAGACTGCCCAGACACTCATTGCCAAACATAAGCTGGGCGTGGGTGTACAGATGGATGAAGGCGGTAGAGATGATGATACCCGTGCCGAACTGCTTGAGAATGAGGAAGATGGTGTGCGTCTTAGTGGGCATCCACTTGATCATGAAGATGGGGAAGTAGACTCCGAAAGCGCTGGTGACCAGGATTACGAAGAGGAGACCGATACGCAGAGGAATGTTATAGTCGCGCGTAACCTTTTCGCAGCTTCTCGTGCCGCTGCTGTTCTCGCTCTCGCCTGCGCCAACGCAATGCTCGACACCAGCGTGGAAATGACAATTCTCGCCCTGGGGTTCTTCTCCGCTAGTGTGGTCTTGGTCGGAAGACTCGGCGCCCTCAGCAACGATGGCAACATCATCTCCATTAGGAGCGAGACAATAAGTTTCAGTGCCGTGAGCATGACAATCAGTGAAGGCCGTTGGTATCGCTGAGGCGGCAGTGTTGGTGGGCGTCGTCATGACCTGATATTCCGTAGTGCCCCACATACAGAAGCTGGAAAGTTCGTCAGCGAAGATTGCTACCGCGTAGAAAGAAGCGCTTACACCGTGACTCCGTGAAGGTGGCAGTCAGACACTGCCGTGGGTGCGCCAGTCGCAGCGGCAGCAGCCGTCGTCGTGGCAGCGGTGGCAGCCGGCGCATTGGCGGCCACGACTTCAACCTCGCCATCCGGATAGAAGCAATACCTGGTGTCGATTGTGTTAGAAGAGGTTGCTGACATGGTATTGAATGAGCTTACAAGTCAGTTGCATGCTTGTGGCATCCAGTATACGAACTGGGCAGTGTGCCAGTAGGGGTAGACACGACTGTGAACTCTGTCGTTCCAGCTTTGCAGATCCTGAAGTAGACGAAGTATGAGCAGGTGTTTGACGGCGTAACAGTAATGAAGCTACTAAGGGTTCTTACTGAGTGGACGAGGCAACGGAGCACTGAGAGATGGCCGTGGGATCAGACGCAGCAGCCGTGGTAGTGGTGCTAGCAGCCGTTTGCCGTGCGACAAGGGAAGCCGAGGTAGTACTCAGAAGAGCCGCAACGGCGGCAGCGGTAGTGAACCTGACCATGGCGTCCGAGTCTAGATGTTGAAGAAGCTGCCAGTGATAAGGTAGAAGCGAGCCTGGGCCTTGTCTGTGCTGAGATGGGCGGACAGGGCTGAATTTCTCCGGACGAAATCCAAGAGCGGATGGTGTTGCAGGAAGCGTCAAGCTGCGCTTATCGGCAGGGTGGTTCTCGTCTGGGTGTTTTATGGAAGAGAATTTCTTGTCAAGGTGGCGAGTCTGAAGGACGACCCGTCAGGAGAGGCGAGGAGAGTGAGCACCTTGAGAGAAGTTGTTCAGGTGTGGAAGTCAATTCGCCGAGCCGGTATGTCTGGCCAGTGTAGTCCCTCAGGGTGATGGTATGGCGTATTAGGACGTGGACGAGGAAAGAAGAAGTCTCTGCAGCAGGAGAACTTCTCAAGAGGGACAAGATGCCGGGGAGGCTGGAGGAAGACAGGCGAATACCAAGCCTAGGGTGTTGCAAGTTGCGCGGTAAGCATGCGCAGGTTCGATTGAGTGGAAAAGACTGAAAACAGAATTCGATGGGGCGGATGGGATCCCTGCCAGTTGGCCGTGTTGAATATGCGCGGATATGCCATCCATTGTTCTGCTCCTTCGGGTTCCCCTCCTGGGCGGATTGCTCACTTTTCTTCTAACGCAACAAAGCAATAGCTTCCGATAATTCGTTGTCAGGTTCCTCTGCGCGTCTCCACGGCCCAAGCTTGTCTTTCATTGTCTTGGCCCTCGGTCGCGGCGGCTGACCTTGTCCTTGTCGGATGACTCTAAGGTTGGTTCCCCGTGGGCATGGCATCGTAGCTTGATGCAGCTTGCTGCGCGCCAATGACGGTCGAGGCAATTTTTCAGCCCACATTCGTAGCATATTCCATAGTCAGGTCGATATGGCATCCGCTGGGATAGGAGCCACCGCAGCCCGAGGGAACCATGGAAACGTGGGCATCACAAGCCCCTGTCGTCCAAAGTAAGTGGACCGATGGTGTTTGTCGAGAGAAAAAGCGGGAAGCCAAAAGAGACGAAAAAAAGCATAAGACGACGCGGTCTGTTTGCCAAGGCTGAGAGACCCATCGCCAAGGCTGAGCACCCGGATGGCCAGCCATGGGCCAGGAGAGGGAAGGAAGGGAAAGGCAGCAGCTGGCGAGATGGGAAGCAACGCTGATGGAGAAGCCAAGACAGGAAGTCACGATGTCCAGTGGGTGTTTCCTGCTTGTTGTCTCTGAGGACCCGCTCTGATTGGGCACAGACCAGCTGAAGTGGCTTAACGTCGGGTCCACATGCCTCTTTTCACCCGGTACGTACCGCCCACATGCCCCTCCACATGCACGTCAAAATAAGAACCTTGATGGCCTCCCGCAACGTCCCTCCTTTGCTTCTCATTTCTCTCACTCACTCATTCACTTGCAGTCTCATCTCACTCATGCACAAACTCACACCTGACTATGATTCAGCTTCCCCTCCGACCTTGATGGTTATAAGTGGCGACGCCTGCATGCCAAGGCTTCTATAAAGTAGACCGGGTCGACCAACCACCATCATGATGAGGGCTTTTCGAGGTTTTCTGCTTTAGCTAAGGGTCCTCGGAGCCTCTCGAATTCAGCTCCTCATACTCCGTATCGGTCGTCCATCTTCAACGCCAAGATTGCCTTACTGCAGGCCCATAGGCTCGTATTGCAGAGGAGTCACCGTCGGCAGGCACTTTTGCGCGCTCCTTCGGCCAATATCACGTGTTGGCGCTTGTGAACCTCTGAATGACACATAGTATTCCCTCCGGCGAGGATCTATCGATGCTGGATGAGACAACTCTGGCTATCAATGTTGCCTTATTGAGACCGGGCTCGAAGGAAGGCAGCAAAATCGGCTGCGTAGTAAAGACGATAACTCCAGACCGTTTCGTGATGTAGTCAGCCACACCATGCTCAGTGAAGTCACCATTACTCCTGTAACGCAATCATGCAAAGACCAGCGGCTGAAGATCCTCACCGGTGACGTGACTAGCAGCATGCCAACGGTTCACGCATGGTTGCAGATATTGACTTCCCGCTGTCTAGACTCAAACCAGCCTGTCGGGTCTGTCACTGTGTCCGTGCCTGAGCTTCTATGCAATAGGTGCAGTTCCAAATGTCAAAATTAAGCCAAGACAGGGGCAGGTGTTTCAGTGGCTGATGATCGCGGGCACGAGGTAGGGAACATGTGTAGTCTAGCAATGCGTATTTTGTTTCCATGCTATAATTAAAGCCCATCTCCATCTGGAGTGGAAGGGAAGAGAAATGCCCTTAGGTGGCCCAGCTTCTCGAAGTTTTCCCCGATTTGGCCTGCCCGCTGTCCTACTACAGCCGTCATACCGACACCCCATCCAATGTATGTTCATGAATCCAAATTCGTGTATCCGTAGATGCCCAGAAGGCACATAATCCATTTTTTTCATCAACGAACCCCTTACAAAGCCATGATCGCGACAGCGATGGCAGCAGCACCAAAACCAGCGCGAGCAGCTCCGGCAGGAACGGCAGTAGAGCTGGGAGAAGCGCTGCCAGCGGCAGTAGTTCCAGTGGCGCCAGTAGTAGCCGCAGCAGTAGTGGTGACGGCAGCGGATCCAGTGCCCGAGGCAGAGGCGGTGCCAGAGACGGCGGTGGCAGCAGCATCGCAATGCCTATCTGATGCGTTAGATCATCTTGAGGCGGCAAGGAAGTCAGTATATTCTAAACGTACCAGTGGTCGCCATGGGGCTCGCAGCCGACAGACTCAGTGGGAGAAGGAGCAAGGCTGCCAGTGCCGGAAGTGTGGTCGTCATCGTGGTCGTGGTCGTGGTCCTCGGTGGCGGTGGTGGTCGCGGCAGCAACGCTTGTGAGGAGGGTGGCTCCGCTGACTGCTGCGGCGGTGGTGGCGCGCGCGCCCTCGCAGTGCCTAAAGGCGAATGTGAGAATGGCGTCAACTTCTGTCGGAAGTGGAAGTCTGAGCTTACCAGTGGTCACCGTGAGGCTCGCAGCCGACACTCTCCGTCGGTGAAGGAGCCAGGCTTTCGCTCTGAGCAAGAGCAAATGCAGCAAAGCCGAGTATGGAAAGAATCTGAGAGGCCTTCATGTTGATAATTTCGGATGGATGTCAGGCGAACTTTGGTATGGATCAAGGTGACCGATCGCGAATGATTGTCAATAATCAACGAGTGTATGTAGGCATAGGCGTGGAGATGGAACAAACTGTGAAAAGGCTGTGAACATGCGAGGTTTATAAAGATGGTTTTGTGTTCAAGCGAATAAGCTACGAATGTCCACCGCCAAGACGAATCGCCTGAACCCCAGGCACAGAATGAGCATCAAGGTGTTAAGGTAGGCAACTCCTGGCGAATCTTGGCACGGAAAAAACTACAATTATGAAAATTGACTGGTCCTTCCAAGGCGTTGGTTGATTGTTTTGTTGTTTGCAATCAATTCAGCCAGGCCAGTTCGCCAAGAAACTACGCAAGTCAGGTTATCCGCGGAGACTACGGGGTATCACAACGTGCTTATCCCTCCCTTTCGACTTGGCACATGCTCAACCTGCCCGGTTGTGTTTACCGTCAATCGATCTTTCAAGGATCACCTTGCCACATGTAGTACCTCAAGCTCCAGTCAAAGGAGTGGTTGGATCCTGGTTTGATCTCGTAATGCGGCACCCATGTCAGGCCTGCGTTTGCCCAGGCGCGAAGAGGCGGGCCGGGCCATCAAGGTCCTCAAAGTGGAATCCTTGACTTAGCACATCATCACGGCATCGAGGACCTTTCGAAAGCCGCATCAAGTGAGTATCTCTGAAGGTGTTAAGATTCTCCGTAGTTGTTGTTTAGTTGCCTCTTACTGGCTATTCTGCGCAGGAGCTTTTGCCGTTTCCGATACTTCAAGGTTGCAATTGATCCCATATATGATGCTAATCAGCCAACGGGCCTTTCCTCTTCCCAAATCCCTGGGTCCTTTTGCATCATTGCCAAGCCTTCAAAGAGCCCCTTTCAACCGGCTTTGTAGGATTGTCCCGAGTTTCGACGACAAACCACCTTTGTTGGACGGAGTTCGATCTACGGGCGGGACTCCGACTGCCAGCCAGTCTCCTGACGGAACCATCAAGCTCACATCTTAGATCACCTCAGCCTTGTGCCAAGCGCTTTCTGTCTTTCTTAACAACGAGAAGCCAACTTGTCAGAATCGAGCAGATACCAACCACGAGTACCGACAAGTTGACCGCATACGAGATCCGATATCTAGGGCCGAACACCGTGCTGAATACGTGTGGGCCGACAATACCGCTGTAAATAAGGATCAGGAAAAGGCTACTCGATTAGGAATCGTTTTGGACGTACCCGAATTGAGCGCACGCATTTGTCATGCCAATGCCGATCCCAGATGCCACGGTTCCTTCAAGTGCTCTGATGCGCTCCGGCCAGATTACTGGGTACGCGCACCCAGCACAGGCCACGGAGACGATCAAGCAGATGTAGCGCACCACCGGGTTATCGACAAAGAGAAGAATGATATAGCATACGATAATTGTTGATTCAACTGCGTCCGTTAGCTGCGCGCTACGTCTAGGTGATTCTATAGGCGACTTACTTCCTACGGCTGTCACCCATGGTCTGATCCACTTTCTTTGAAGCATAAAGCCCAACGTGTTCAGAAGTAAGAAGGCCGAAACATACGGAGGCTATATGACATCAGTCAAAATCCCTCGACATGACTAAGATCAAGCGCGTGCTTACAATGTTCATCAACTGAGAATAAGCCGTAGTCGTGAAGCCCAGCTGATAAATGACAGTTGGCAACGCGAACCCGACCCCGAACCCCCCGATACCATGGCAGATCCAGTACAAACTGAATGTGTATAGAGTCGGGTCTCGAGCCATGACCTTCAAAGACTTGAAGTCCCAACTCGCTTCTCCCTTGGGCACAGAGCTGGCAAGTCTCTGCTTCATATACAGTCGCTCCTCTTCATTCAACATCTTGGCCGACTCCGGATAGTCAGGCAACCAAAACGCAAAGAACGCAAGGAAGATAGCCGGCAGCCCTTCGAGGATAAACAGCCACCGCCATCCGGACACGTTACCAAGCTGGTCCATATACGAAATCGCGTAGGCCAGCAGTCCCGACAGCGCACTAGAAACCTGACCGACGGAGTAAAAGAAGGCGATGCGCTGCGGCATCTCTTCCGGCTTGTACCAGAACGCATAGTGATACAACACTGACGGAAAAAAACCTGCCTCAGCCATGCCGATCGCGAAACGAACACACATCATGCCTGTAAAGTTTATCGCCGCGGCGGAGCAGCACGCAGAAACGCCCCATGCCATTATCAGTATGAACATCCATCTCGAAGGCCTGAACAGCTTCAACAAGATCGTGTTGGTGGGCTCAAAGACGAGATAGCTGTATGAGAAGATTGAAAGCGTCCACGCCCATTGTGATGGGTTGAGGCCGAGTTGCTTCTTGATGCCGGTGCCGGCCTCGAGGTTGATGATAGCTGCATTGGAGTAGTTTGCGCTGTCGATGACGCGGAAGACGTAGACGAGAGAGTAGAAACCCACGAGCCAGAGGTCAATCTTTCTCAAGAGTTTCTTCTCAAACTCGGGCCGAGTATTGCTTTCTTCGGTTTCTGGATCGGAGACATCTATGCTCCCTGTCTTTGTCGTCTTTTCGGGAAAGGTCTGTACGTGGTCGGCAACGTAGGCCAATGTCATGATAGGCTCTCTTGAGGTGGTCATTTTAGACGTCGTCGCGAAGCACCGAAAAGAACCAGAATATCAATTGACACGACTCAATGCGAAGCTAAATCTCTACAGCTAACCAGTAGCAGTACTTTTTCGCTTATGTTTCAATCTTAGTTCTAAGAGCGAAGGTTCACGAACCATCAATGACCGATGCCGGATATCTACCCTGGCGTTTCGACTTTGCACTCATCACGACATGATAACCAAGATGGCGATATGTGTTCTCATCCAATCCTAGTTGAAGATTGAAGGCCTGTCATTCTTCATTGATCCTGGATGATAACTGCGGCAACAACATCTCTCGGACTATGCCCGATTTCCGAGTAACATTTCCCCGTCTTTTTCTATCATTCAAGCACGTCTTGATCGAACTTGCCTGGCAGATGACAATCTGGGGTAGTATTCGGGAATGTCTGGTAAGATCGTTGGCTGATGATGACGAGCACGTTGTTGGGGTTCCCGAGCACGCCATGGCCGATCATGTGTCGACCCCGCGTGGGTGTCAGTAAGCCATCAAGCATGGAATCCTGCGATGGACTTCTATAAGGTGCTGAGAGAAGATTTAATTGAGTCCAAACAGCAGCATCCCAATTCTATATCTCGCATTGTTCCGTTTGAACCGGCAATACACACCATGGCTCCCTCTGCAGTATCACCACCACCCTCTAGTACCGATAAGCTGCTGGTCAAGCCCTGGTCCCGGCCGCAACCAACAAGAGAAGATCTAGACTGGGCGCCTCTCACCACTATTGATCTCTCACGTTTCGATGAGCCAGGTGGCAAGCAGGGATTAGCGAAACAACTCTACGATGCCATCTCGCGAGTTGGGTTCTGGGTTGTCACTGGCACCGACATCGACGATGAGCGAGTCCTGCGTCAATTCAGCATTGGAAACACGTTCTTCAGAGAGCCACTCGAAGAAAAGCGGACTTATCCATGCAACTTTGCGGAAGGCGAGTACTTTGGATACAGGGAGAACGAGAGATGGCTTGGTGATACGGGTGTGAAGGAGAACATTGAGATGGTAAGGCGCCAGTCTGTTGCCTACTAAGGTATTGGGATAGTAGTGTCTAATGAAGACTTAGCTCAATATCCACAAGGACATCCCAGCGTGGAAAGGCGTCGGTCGTCATCGGGTTGTTGAAGAGAACTGGGATGAGATTCGAGACTTCCACCGCGACGTCTGGGAAGTTGCACGAAAGCT